GTATAATCAAAACATATTTGAAAAGAGAGCAGGTCTGTGTCTGGATAAGAGGTGCTTCCAAGGTCTCCTTTCTACCCTTCTCTGCCCTTAACTGGTGGATTGATTCACTTTGTTTCATTCCACACTGTCCCCACCTTGTCCCCTGTCCCATGTAAACATGAAACAAGTAAGTCTAGGAGGAAAAATAGCTTAATGMGATAGAAAAAAATCACCCTTGGGAAAAATTACCAGAATAAATTCCAACTTGTGAAAAATAATTATACTAAAACAGAAAGGAAGAAGACTTTGAGAGGGTAATGACATCTTCTGAGATGACCACCCCCTTCCCACCATGCAGTCATCCTGTGTGCTGGAGCAGTGCAGGAGGGGAGATGGTGGCAGCAATAATTAGTTATTGTCTCTGGTGTTGTGCTTGCCAGTCTCCTGCTGTGGCCAGAGTCTGCCCTTCCATTTCAAACTCACACAGCTCCGTATGTTTGCGCTTGTTTTCCCCACTGCAGCCTCATAATGATGCTTATACATCACTCTAATCTGACTCCCATTGATCTGTAAGGGGGAAGAATGTGCAGCAAGATGTTCACATGCTGCTGTTGRAAGATTGGCAACAGGTAGAGACCAGAGGCATGCCAGATACCTGAAGTTAGTAGAAACAGAGATAACAAATAGGTCTTCTGGTATCAGTTCTGTCCTTCATCTGTTCTCAACAGTGGCAAATAAACAYTGCTGAGGAATATGCTGACTGTATTTACATCGTTTTCTTCATGAGGCAAGAGCCAAACATATGTCTGGGAACAATTGCACCCTCCATCTGTGAGTGATCATCCTGCTTAAATACAGCAGCAGACCTGACTTTGGAGTGAAAACCAGAGCAGAACCTCTCCCCTGCCTCTGCTGCTCAGCTGTACAGACAGAGCAGGAGCAGGGAGGAAGGTGGCAGTGCAGATTTTTGGCTGCCTTCAAGTGACCACACATCCTGTTAGGCTGCAGAAACATCAGACTAATGCAGAGATCTGTCTGTTTGAGATGCAGGAGGGCTTGGAGGGATTCAGTAGATAATTTGCAGATATGTTTGTATTGCTGCAGRGGGAACAGGGTGTGGGGAGAACTCCTGACCTTGCTCTTTAGTGTAGGCTGTTCACCCACTTCCCACCCATGTCCCAGCTCACTATAGCATGTAAATACAGTAAAATGGATTCATTTCAATGAGATTGCTTTCTTCTCTGATACTGCATAGGAAGACTAACACTGAGTCTGTGGTGGCAGAGCAATGATCAGAGCAGTAGCTGGTGGTGTTTACCTGAAATCCTTCCCCAGCCGTGTCATATGGCACTCCTCCCAAGGTGGGGGAATTTCCTTGTACAGGCAGCAAGCCAAGCACCATGAGGAACAAGCACCATGCAGGAGCACTGTGGCATGAGAGAGAATTTATAGTCAGTCTGTCAAGTCCTAAACCAATACCTGAACAAAGACTTGCATTCTTACTGCATATGAAAATGACATGTGAGATCTTAACCAAGGGCTGATAATTTATGATGATGATGATGATGAAATTCTGTTGAAGCCACATGCTTAGATCTAAGGGTGCCTGGGAGTTTTGTTGAGCTTAAGTGGGTATAAAGGCTTAGAGGTTTCCTGACACAAAATCGAAGTGAGAAAGTGTCTTGTGTGTATGACTGCTGATAACAAWTGGCTAAACAACTCAGTTTAGGTGGAACTCGAGGAAATTTGGTTTTGCTGGGGACAAAATGAAAAGGTAAAGAAAAAACAAAAGGACAGATGTCTGTGATATTGGGCCAGTACAGTACAGAGCTTAATTTGTTGTGGCCAGAATATCAAGAAATGTAAGTGTGGGCAACTGCAAAATATTTGGGGCAGCTCTGTTCTTACTTTTTTCTTTCAAGAAATTGCTTAAGTGGAAAAGTTCAATCTTTCCTATGTTCCTATTTTACCTTTTAAAATATGTAATAGGGGGTTGTGTTTCACAGAAGAGTTCAGCTGGAYGCACAGAACCATCTTAGGATTGGGTATGGATCAGCAAGGAATAAATGCACCAGCTGTCCTCAGAGGGTTTCTTTCCACTTCCCTGTCAGAGGCCCAGTGTAGCCCTGGGGCTTTTTCCTTTCCAAATATAGGTTTAATCCAAGATGATAATATCTGGCATGCCCAAGTGCATTCTCAGTAAGGATGTTGCACACCTTAAGTAATGATACTTAATGTCTCAGTATGGAAACCAACACTAGTGCTACAGGTTTGAGAGTTGCAGGTATGACCATTATTTGAAAAATTAGCTAATGACTTTGTAACTCTTCTTCTTCAAAAAAGGCAGCTGAACATATGGCATCATTTCACATGAAAATGTGTCATGGAATTACTGTTGTGTACCAGCCTGGGCTAAGAAGCTGTTGAGTAAAATAGCTCAGGAAAGCTTTTGTTGATTGTACATGCTAAGGCAGAAGCCTGGGATGTAATTATGTGTGCAATTTTGTGAACAGGAGAGGAGGACATTGCACYGTCAGAGAAATCTTGGATTCCTTGTGGGTAATGACTGGAACACTGTGACTACTCTGGACAGTTCATGCAAGTGACACTTTAAAAGGAAAGTGTAAATAAAATTGTAAGGACMCCTGTAAACTGAGAGCTGTCCTGTTAATATGGGACATGAAGACTTTCTGCAGTCCTGCATGCCCCTAGGGGACTTTCCAAGGAGGGGCACTGGAGGTGGTTGGTCCTCCCAGACACCATCCTGTGGGGCCTGGGAAAGAGGAGGAGCTGGCATGAGACTCTGCTTGTTGGGAACAAAAAACTTGAGAAAAATATTATAACACTGTCACAACCCACCTCCTCTATTAGCACTACCTCACATTTAGCCTAGTTATGACTCCTAAGCAKCTGGGCTCCTACTGCATCAGCAGATTTCCATTCAGATGGCATGCCATTGGCTTAGCTCCCTGGCCAGAGAGTTTTGGAGATCCCAAAGAAAATACAAAGATTTGTATCAGATTTTTGAATCAGAAAGTGAGTGGAGCATAAAATAAAATCTGAAGAATCATTTTCCTTATGTATCCACTGAGTTTAACTGCAAGGAGAAGGCTATAGTGAATGCTAGGTCGTTGGAAATAGGCTTTTATAACAAAACAAACCTTTCCTTCTAATGCTGAAAGTTCCCTCCATTTTCCCCTCTTTGTTTTTTTTTTTTTTTTTTTTTTTTGCTTGCTCTCAGATGGGAGCTAACTTCTGCTTACTTCTGACCTCAGTGTGGTTTCAGCAGAACCTGGGAGTGGACTGCCAAAGCAGAATTTCTGGCCTGAATTGGTGTGACATAGAAAGGCTCCAGTCCCAAATAGCTGCCAGATGCCCTTCTAAGTGTGTGGTTTGACACAGCAAATCTGCTGATGCAAGTGTAAGGTGCTGTGGCATGATGAAGGCCCTAAGATGAACATAATAAAACCTGCCACAGTTCATGCATTCTGGTACTGGACTGTCTCACTGGGTTTTTTTTTTTGTTTGTTTGTTTGTTTGTTTGTGGTTTTTTTTTGTTATTTTTTCCCTTAAAAGACTGATTTATTTTAACACTGTTTTACCATTGAGACCCCTTTAAAATAGTTGGAGTCAAAATATGTTTTAATTTGTATGTTATATTTAATCCCCACTTATAATGATGTCTCAAAAGCCTGAAACCAACATTTCCTTCCTTGCAGGATTGGTTTTCTTCCATAGAAAACACTTCCCTTCCCCCCCCCCCCTTTTTCTTCTAACTACTTAGAGTCACCTCATTCTGTAATTAAGGGTTGAAAAGACATAAATCACTGTCATATTGGATGTGTTGCAGRGTATGGGAGTTCCTTGCTGCAGAATCTAACTTGTGGGAAAATACCTGGCCTTTGTATGACTTGGAGGAGGGGAAGAGGGAATCTTCAGTCCTTTGCTCTTCAGTTGCATGTCCTTGGAAAAAAGTAATTACCCTTATTACCTTCAGCATGTTTATAACTCCCGTCGCTGTGCATTGTGCCAATGATTTTAATCAAATCAYATGCTTCAGGGATCCAGCTTGTCAACTCTGAGGGGTAAGAAAGAATGCAAATTTACCCCTCCATGCTTTTTTTTTCTTCTTTTCCTCTCCTCCCCTTGCCAGCCCCTGGCCTTGCACGCTTGGCTGTGCGCTGGTGCTCGAGTCATACTGACAGTCTGCTCTGAGGGTGGAACTGAAGTTTCCCCCGGGTCAGCTCAACGGGAATATCGGATGATGTTAATTTTTCTCTGCAGCATGAGGCAGGGACTGTGCGGCTTGTTTGCTTGCTTGTTAGAATTKTACTTCTTATTATCCAGTATGTTAGTCTTTGAAAAGTCAAATAATATACTGAGTATGAAGAGACTTGGACTCTCAGGAGTTACCAGATTTTTGCAAGATAGGTACTACAAAAAAGGTAAAAAAAAAAAAACCCAGAAGACTCCTGTCAAATAGCTGCATGTGTTTGATGGGATTTGACAAACGGATTTGCATGCACACATGGAAGAAAAGGAAAGGTTAGGGCGTCGGCTTCTCCTRTACGGGCTTGGGACAGCGCGTTCCCTGCTTTCCCTCAGCGCGGCGGGAACGAGCGCGGGCCCTCAGCGCTCGGCCCTCAGGGGTGCCGCCAGCATGGTGCCCTCAGGGCAGCGCCCCTCGGCGGGGGCAGGGGTGCCCAGCCCCTCAGGGGCCGGGGCCGCTCGGGCCGCGGGTGTCCCCGGCGTGCAGCAGGTGCCCGGGGACCCCGGTCGAGGCTCGGGGCGGGTCCGTGCGGGTCCCGCCCGGTCCGGCAGCACCGCCCCCCGCTCTGCCCGGCGGGGCGGGGGCGCCGAGAGCCCCCGGGCGGCCCTGGCTCGGCTCCGCTCCGCTCCGCTCCGGCAGCGGCCGCCGGCGCGAACAAAGGCAGCGGCGGCAGGCGGCGGTGGCGGCGCGGCCGTGCGCGGCAGCTCGCCCGCCCCTGCTTCCTGGGCCGGACCAGGCGAGGCGGCCCCCGCCCCGCCGCCAAGCGGAGCCGCCGCCGCCGCAGCAGCGCCGGTCGCGGGGCGCGCTGGCCGCCCGTCGCGGGAGCTGCATGTGCGCGGGAGCCGCGGCGGAGGATGGCCGTGCTTAAGCTCGCCGATCAGGTGGGCGCCGCGGGGCGGGCGGGAGCGGGCGGCGGGCTACAGCCTCCAGCCTCAGCCGCAGCCCCCGCGGCGGTGCGGGGCGGCCGGGGGAGGCCCTTCCCTCTGCCGGGGGCGGCCGTGGAAGCCCCTTCCCGGGGGGCGCCGTGTGGTGCCGGCTCCCCGCTGCCCCCCGCCCGCCGAGCCGCAGCCGATGGGCTTCTGTCCGCTTCCCGGCGGATATTGTCAGTGTGCGGCGGGCCGGGGGCCGGGGGCCGCGGCCGGGGAGGGCGCAGCTCGCCGGGGTGGCGGTGGCGGCAGCGGCAGCCGGTACCGGGTGCGGGCGCTCGCCCGTCCCTGCCGAGCTGCTGCCCCGCGGTCCCCGGTGAAACCCTGACATCTCCCGTCAGCGGGGTGGGATGGAAGTGGATGTCGGCTCGTTTCGAAAGGCCTCTCGGCTCTGCCTGTCGTTCCTTTGGGTTTCTGCTTGGTTTTATTGCCGTGCCATACGTAGAAATCATTTTTCCTGTCGCCTTTTTACTTAGGAAGTGCCTGTTCGGATTAGCTGTTGCTGTTCTGCGCAGACTACTAGGAAAACCCGTAGTATTAAACCCTTGGATCGTGTTAAATTTAGCAGTGGGCAGACAGCTGTAATCAGTATTAAAGTATTTCTTATCACTGGTAGTTAGAAGCATTTATAAATATTTAGTAAATTGATATTTTGACTCCCACATCCTGATTTATCCATATACTCCACCAACTGTTACACACTTTGTGTGCTTTAATCTGCTATTTTTAATTCAGCGTGGTCTGCCTGTGATCTGCAGCGTGGGTGTCCTGCAAGCCTCAGACCCTTCCTGCGGGGTTCAGAAGGACTGCCTGCAGCCAGCCCCTCTCCAAATACCCGTACTTGGTGATCACATACCTCACTCACGATCTATTTATGCTTTTCCCGTAAAATCTTTCACGTTGCACATTGAAAAGAGTTTTGAAAGGAGAAAATGATAAAACCTGATTCTAAGTGAAAGCGATGCTGTGGGACCAGACTATAATGTGTTTTCATATGTAACAGARGGCAGTATTTATGGGCTGTCTCCTGACATGTCCCTTGAATATCCTCATCTTTAGATGTGGTGCTTATAACTGGGAAAGAAAATGTTTCACACCATGAGGCTTCACTATCCTGTGGTGCACAGACTGAGTCTCATGAAAAAGGAGATTCAGGTAGGATCTGKGTGTTAGAAATCCAAACAGCAAGCATTAATTTTAAAAATACATGGGTTACAAAGGACCAAAATTGTACCATTTCAGTGCCTCTTACATGTTTAATGAAGCTTTTGAATTTACTGCCTTTAGCATTTTTAAACCTTTGCTGACACAGCAAGAATTTTGCTTCAGCAGCAGCAGTAGAAGTCAAAACAGATTTAAGTTAAATAGAAGTCTGTAATTCTGTAGAAGGCTGTTGTCTTAGGGTTCTTCCTTTTTATCTTCTCTCAGAATGCTCAAAGCTGAGGGTGGAGGCTCTTTAGAACTGCTCTTACACCCCTGCAGTGTGCCTACTTTAGTGATGCTCAAAATTTTGGTGAATGCTCATCATTGTTCCTGGCTGGGCTGTGGCCTGGGACATGATAAGAGAGACTGATAATTTTTCTTTGTGGACATAACGTTTCCTGTTTACAGAGGGACGTGTTGATCTACCTGCACCCATGCTACTGGATCTCTTTTTATTTCCTTAATACTCTTCAATAGATCTTTCTCTTTCAGTTCTGAGGGACTGGAGGAGGGGGAGGGTACATTCAAAGCTGGCTGTGGTGCTTCCTCTCAAACCGAGAGCAGAAGTTTTTGTGAGCCCGTGTCTGTTGTGTGTGGAGCTGTTGCTGGTGGAGCCATTCCCACCTGCAGCCTGAGCAGTGTAACCAAGGCGCCGGGGCTGCTCTACTTCTCATCTGCATCAGATTGGAGGAGTGCTGTCAGTGGGCTCACCCACCTTTGGCTAGGAGAGAGAGACACTAGCAGCAGCCCCATGTGGTTACAGATAGTCAAAACAGAGGTGAATCTGGGCTGAGGAGTAATGTGTTTGGGAAGAATTGCATTCTTGTAACAACTCCTGCATGGAGTTATTACAGGAATGATTTGCATTCCTGTAACAACCCGTCGCTAGGGTTGTGGGAGAAGGATTCTTCTGCTTTTGTTCCTGCTCTTGAAGATTGAGGCAACTGTGACAGTGATAACTTGCAGCGATTCAGGAAACGGTTTCCTTTTCCTCAAACACTAGAGGCCACAGCTCACAGAGTCCTGCAGTGAGGTTTGGAGTACGAGGGACACTCCATGCGTCTCTGGACCTGGACTGCTGTGAATGTGGGCTGCTTTTTGTGCACATCGTGAGGTGCTTCAGGTCTTAGTTGTGATGCTCMGGGAAGGCTGACTCTGAAACCAAGAGCTCTCTGCCTGTCTTTGGGATTTCTGTGGTGTGTTTTCTTCTGGTCCRTGACTTTTTTGACCCCTGAGGAGATCATCATGTAGGAGGTGACTCGAAAACCTCCCTGCTGAGAGTTTAAACATGTGTTTCTCTTAAGATATGTTTCCTCCTTACCTCTATGCTYGGCTTTTCTTACCAAGTGTATCTAAGAGCACAAGTGGCATTCAGACAGATGAGAAATTAATCACCCCATTTCTCACACAGGCTTTGAAGACAGGCAGATGTTAATTGTTGCTGCTWTTTTGATATTGCTGAAAGGTGCTAAAGTAGTACTACACTTGAACTTGAAAAGAGATTATCAGTTCTTCTGGCTGCATTCACTCATTAGCCATGAGAGCTTAGTTTAAGAGTTTAGCATGAATGTAGCTACTTGAATTTGCTTCTAGTGATGGTAATTTTTAGACCATCAGTTGAAACTGAACTGAGAGAAACCTGTAAGTGATTTAACCCCGGGAAGTATATTTGACCATCATTCATTTCTAGATGAATTTCTCTCAGGCCTTGCTTTTATCTGTGACTGCCACTAGTTGCTTTTGAATGGCTAAATGTTAAGCTGAAAACAAGCTAAAATAATTAATAAAATTTAAACTAAGKCAGAGCATTATATTCTTTGTTTGTAGTGGTGTCTGTTTATTTGTAAACATTCTGATATTATAAATATTTCAGTTGTCATAGACARATATTGCAGAATTTGCTCTAAATCTTTACATATTTATCTGTTCATCTCTGCAGTGAATGCTAATTATGGCAAGCATGCAAGTTGTTTTAAAKACTGAAAAACTTTCTTTTTTCCAATTCTAAGAGTTACTGCTGTACTGTTCCCCATCCAAGTCATTGTCTGTACCTTTTTCATTTCAGTCGGAGTTACTATTTTATATTGTGTGAGGGTACAGTTGTTTATAATAAAAGCCTCTTGCTGTTGCAGTTATGCTAGAATTCAGAAGCAGCAGAGGACAAGTGCATCAACAAGTGAGCACCCAAAGTGTTTCAGGTGTGAGTGGCACTGACACAGCTCAGGCCTGGCTGTGCATGTATGACAGCGCATGGAAACTCCTGCTGTGCCCCTGCAGTGCTGCTTGCAGCTCTTCATTCCTTCCTACATTTTGAATTGCTATTCCCTCCTCCTCATAAGTGTCCTTTCCCCTTTGCCAAAGCTCTCAAAAGGTGGAAGTATTGATCTGCCTGTGACTTTTGTGGCTGCTTTTTGAGCAGCAGTCATTGCCCGGACCCACCTCTCTTATCCTTTGAGTAATCAGCAGATGTAGGGTTCTTCCTGCTGCCATTCTCTCTCCTTGTTGTCTGCAGTTCTTTGCCCAGCTTATTCTTCATATTTCCACCAAGTAACTTGGTTTCTTGAGAACTGTTTTGTGTCACTTGCAATCTTTTCCAGAGAAAGCCTGGTACTTCTTGTCCTGACGAGTGTGCTTTTCATCTTCAGGGTTTCCAGTGATGGTTCTGGGCAGCAAACAGACAATTGCTACTGTCAGGGCTCTGTGAGGGTAAAATATCTTAAAATAATTCTGCATGTAAATTTCTGTGATTCAGCTTTTGGAAAATTTTCTTGGAAGAACCTAAAGCTTCTGTGGTGTCTCCATCTCATTTGCAGTCTTCCCTTGCCAGCTGGTGTCTTCTTTTCAGAAGGAAGCTGTGCCCACAGGCCTGCAGGTTGGCTCTTTAGCTAMCTCCTTCCTCTTCTTTCTGTTTAAAGACAAAGAAGTCACTCTGTGCATGGCTGTTTGATTTGAGATGCCGGCTCTGCCTTCACCTCTGTGGCACAAATGTGCCCGTTGTGCCCATCGGAGGCAGCGATGGTTGGAGTGGGGTGTGTGTGGGGCATCCTGCTTGTTGATGTGTGTCAGAGGCTGATGYTGGTTAAAGTAGTGCATATTTGTAGAGGAAATGTATCATTCTGTCTTGGAAAGATGCTCAGAAAGTTTTCTATAAACAAAAATAAAATGGGATATTATTTAGARGTGCAGCCTGCATAGCTGCTTTTAAGAGATGTAGGGCTTGGTGGTTTCATGCCTGCACTGCCAGRTTTGGTGAGAAGCTTGCTGTAAATCTGAGACAGACACAGGTTCTAGCCTTGGGCCAGTGCACCTGGAGAGTCGTAGTTTACCGGGACTTCAGTGTCACCAGCCCAGGCCCTGTGTGTACTAAACAACAGAATTATTTTTAGGCTGCCCTTACAAGCATGCATATGCATGAATAAGGGTAGTGAAGCCCAGATAAATGGTTAATGTATGTGCTTAGGCTGCTATTAAATGCAAAACCTCATCCTGTCTCCTGCTACTTTGCTTGTTGTCCTTGATTGCTGAGAGTAATGCAGTTTGACCAGAACTGAAAGGACCATTTCTGTCCCTTTCCCAAACGTTCTCCTATGTTTTATAGCTCTTTGCTGACCATCAGGATCCTTTTTATTATGGTCACAGAGAAACAGCATTAAACAGATGTTAAAATACTTTTAAACATATGTCAAAGATCATAAAAATCCACTGGGCAAAGGCTGGACTTGTGTCTGAGCACACTTAAAACTAAAATGAAT